AACTCGCTTAATAGAGCCTCAGTTCTACGGGGAAATCGGGTGTGGGTACACCGGATGTGTCGAGCGTAGCATGAGAATTTCCGAACAAAGCACTCAGCCTTATCAGCTGAGGAAGTCAGGACATCAAATTGGTTGAACAAAGGAGATATTGTGGGTTTGCTGTTGTTAAGTACGCTCTTGCAGAGACGCCAATAATCCTTAGAGCCTAATTTGCGAGATGCAATACGTTGTTTCATTCTATCAGCAAATAGTGACTTTGCTTCATTGAAGACACGATTGCACTCGTTACAGGCTGAGACAAAGAGACGTCTGTTGCAATCTGACATTTCACTACGATATAGGCGGAAGAAGTGATTCCGATGTGCAATAGCAGCTGAGCAAGCAGTAGAGAACCATAGGGATGACCGCGATTTAACCTTATATTTCCTTGCGGGGATGAAATCCTTTATTCCAGTTTTTTTTTCCCCAGGAGGAAACCTCGAGAGCGCATTCTTGAACAGGGAGCTTAAAGACCACATCCCAGGGGACATCGCGAAGGAAATCCTGGAATCCTGCTCGTTGATAACAGAAAGATGTTCTGTTGGTAGGAACTTCTTTGCTGGGGGTAGAGTAGGATACGTTGATAGACACTACAGCATGACCAGAATTGACAAGAGAGCAGTGATGCGTGATGCGACAGGACTTGAGGATGGAAGTGAAACAGCGATCGAAAAGGGAAGCCTTACCGTCTAGGTTGTTGGGGTAACGTGTGGGAAAGTCAACTATTTGCGTGAGGGATTGAGAAATAGAAAAGTTAAGGATTTGTATGCCAGCAAGGTCAGTTATAGAGTTTTTAAGCCACTTGGTATGGTGGGCGTAAGAGTCCCCGAACACGAATATATGAGCAAACGGATGGCGAGAGATAGCCTTGTCTATATTGTTGGAAATACTTTCGAGTACACCACTGTCTTGGGAGGATGGAGAGCGATAGAAGAAGAGGGTAGCTTACAACATTGAGGAGGGATAGACGGAGACACATGTATGAATAGTCTGGAGATTCGAATGAGAGCTCTCTATCTAGTGGGAGATGGTCCTTGACGTAAACTCCAAGTCCTTGCATATGGGTTTGAGAGTCTTTTCTAAGGAGAGGAAGATAACCGGGGATCGAGAGCGCAGAAGAGGGGATAAACGAGTCGAGGTTGGTCTTGCAAAGAGCCAGTATATCAGGAGACTTCTCAATAAGGAACGATTACACACTGTAGAAGTTGGTTCGAATGCCATGGATGTTAGAAAAGGAAATTTTAAATGGTTTAGGTGATATATATATATATATATATTATTTTCTCTGTCTCTGTCTCTGTCTCTGTCTCTCTCTCTCTCTCTCTCTCTCTCTATATATATATATATATATATATATATAGATATAGATATAGATATAGATATAGATATTCTAGTATGTTTGGTTAAATAATTTAGACGTATGATGTTTGTTTATTTTTGTTCTTAATGCTTTCAAATCCCCGAACTAATTTCTTGGTAGCTGTAGAAAATTGATTAAGAAAAATTCCCAAATTTTCTTTCAAATAATTTTTATTTTGCCAAGTGTTTTCAAACTCATCTGAGACCGTATTCAGAGGTCGCATATCTATGGATGCGTTATGCGTTAACACCGTAAATTCAAATATTTTTTAAATTTATGCAAGAGTGGGGGTGTAACGTATGGGACTTTTTAAATACATTTTTGAAGGAAAATATTACCAGAAATAGATTTTTGACAAAACAAAATATTACCAGCAATAAAAATGTTGCCGGCATTAAATAACCCATTGAGGTTGATATGCCGTAAACTAAAACAAACCAAACTATCACAATGTGATTTTATCTATGTATCTGTCTATGGCTTTTCCATTCTATCTCATGTTTTTCATGTCTGTCTATCTATCTATCTATCTATCTATCTCGGTGTGGTTTCATCTATCTATCTAGCTAACTAGTTATCAATCTATCTATCACATTGTGGTTTTATCTGTCTATCTATCTGTCTATCGCATTAAGTATTCCTTTTCTTAAATTACAACATGCCAACGTTGCATTCAGTTATTTCCTCTCAATGAACAAAACTTCACTTGGAACACAGCTGCAGCAACACAGTCGTACACTGCATCTACACTGTAAAAGCATTGGTAACACTAACAGTTTTAACAATGGAGCCGTAGAAATATTGAATATCACTCGTACTAACTCCAAACCTTATCGATAAGCAGTGATCATTTGTCTTATTTTTCACTATAGAAAGAAGTTTCATTTTCCTCGTGTTCTCCAGTAAATTATCCACATCTCCGTGTGCGCGTGTGAGTTATTGTGTGCCCGTGTGTAAGCCTTTTGTGTTTGTCAATGTAGACGTGTACGTAGAATTTACTAGTGTGTGGGCCTGCGTTTCTTGAGACGGCCGCCCCCGCATTGTATAGGAGTAGACGAAAAGCCGTCTCCGACATAAGGTCGATATGTACATTCGATGAACGGAGATGACGAACAGGCAAGCAACCAGACAGGCGGTCGGTTCAGGCTAGTATTACGTTCTCTCTCTCTCTCTTCCCCCTCTCTCTCTATCTATCTATCGCTCTATCTATCTCTCGCTCTCTCATTTATTCATTCATGAAAATTCTTGTTGATTTTCTGATTTACCCTTCTCCTCCCCGCAACAACATTTCTAACCGACAATATTTGGCTGAGTTGTACTATTCCGGTTGTAAAATCGAAATTTAGTATTAGGATGGAGTGTGCATTAGATCTCAAGGAGAGCCCAGCTTCTTATTCCTCATTTTCTTTTCAAATGTTAAAAAACAGATTTAAAAGAAAAAAGAAAGCAGACGATGGCCTCAGCATCAGCATCAAACAACATGTTTTTGTTACGTTAAATCGCAGTAATTTATTACGAACTCTATCGTAAGAGCAATGGTTTCAGTACGCAAGCTTGGACTAGTATTTTTTTTTTCATCGAAAAAAAAAATGTATATTTTTTTTAAATTCAATATCATCAGTATTGTCAACGATACAAAAATTAATTATTAATCATTAGTTCTCATACTATATATATATATATATATATATATATATATATATATATATATATATATATATATAAGAATTAATGTTAATTTTGCATCGTTAATATATATATGTAAGAACGAATATATACACACAGACACAGAAACACACACACACACACACACACACACACACACACACACACACATATATATATATATATATATATATATATATATATATATATATATATATATATATATCCTTTAAGAATGCTATATTTACCATAGTAATATTACTGCAAAACGTTTGTTAAGAACACGGATATCCGATTAATGAATGGTGGTTGATTGACCAACAATATGTTATCGACATGAAACTTATTATTATTATTATTATTATTAAATATGACACTGCTATCCATAATGGATTATTCATATGGAAAGAAATTACCTGTGTATTAAAGCACATCATGTATACGATCGGAATTTTCTTCGGCGATTATCTTTATAACACCAACAGAAAAAAAAGAAACTAGTAATTGCAGTCGAAAATTAGAAACGCTAAGAATAGTCAAAGAAATGCGAAATAATGTAAATGTTATTGGTTTCATGCCTGTCTTCAAAAGAAAGAAAGCAACACATCGTATCTGTCATCATCTGCAACAGAAAGATTTCAGTTGGGCGAGATTTTTCTGACGTCGACGCTGATATCAGTCCGGCTGGTTTAACTTCTGCATTACGGAGACACGCCAATATGAAAATGAACTGAATGGGAGGAAGAAAGGTGTCGACAAATAAAAGCTGTTTTTAATGGCGGACAGGGAGGAGGCAAAAGAGCGGGAGGTAAACAATTTGGTGGAGGAGCAGTAAGAGATTGAAAATAAATGGAAGGAGGAGGAAAGCAAAAAAAAAAAGAGAAAAAAATGACCGATTAATGAAGCAAACGAAAAAATGGAAAGAAAAGGACGATGAAAGGAATAAAAATCCAAATGAAGTATAATTAGATTATTTCAAAAAATGATATGATAGTTGAAGATGTCAAAATATTTTTTAAATCTGACCCAAGACAAAAAAATTTAAAACTCTCAAAGAAACTGCAAAAATTATATTCAAAAAATTAAATAAAAAAAATGATGATATAAAATTGCTAAAAACTTTAAAAAAACAAAAAAATGAAAAAAAAATTAGTAAAAGAAAAAAGTTATGTAAAAAAAATTACAGAAAAAAAAAAAAGAAAAAAGAAATAAACAGTAATCGGCTATACTAATCTATTACACGAAGAGTTACGGAGAAATACGAAATCTGCCGAAGACGTCTGACCTTGAAAATCTCTGCAAATATCCTTCTTCAATGAAAGTACGTCTAACTTCTTGTTGGCATAATTACTCAATTTAGTATCAGTTGCTATATTCTTCATTTTAAGACATTTAATTTCTTGTCATTTTTATAATTTCCTCTTTAAAATAAAAGATCTTTAACTTAACAAAAATGTATAGGGCTTCAAGATATTTTACTCAACTTTCACTTGAAACTGAGTCGACTTGAGTATATATGTTTATTTTAAGGTTATATGTATTTATATGCGTGTCTTTTAAACGATATAGCATGTTTATAAGTAAACGAATATTTCAATCCTCATGCATATATATATGTGTGTGTGTGTGTGCGTGCGTGCGTGTGTGCATGTGTGTGTGCTTTGGTAAATTCTTTATGTGTGTGTTGATAGTTATTATAAATTTTGCATTAAACTCGTCTAATAACTGAGTGTTACACTGTTCAATGTTACAACTCGTCTAATAAGTGAATGTTACAATTCAATAATACTTATCTTAGTTACACAGGGTCAGAAATAGAGAAGTTAACAAATAAAGTATTAACAATAAAAATCGTGCTGCAAATGTATATAAATATTTTGATTTTTAAAACGGTCTGGTTAGCAGTAAATAGCTAGATCGATAGCTACACAGACAG